CACTGGTGATGTTCCCAGCTAGTATATCTGCTTCAGTTTTGATGCCGTAGTAATCCATCAAGTTTCCCAGCTTGTAGTCATACTCCCTTTTGCAGTTGATGGCATCATCGATGTAAGCCTCGAATCCGTCTACCTCCATGTCAGGATCATAGAACTTCCTAGCCACTTCCACGGTGAAGGATTTAATTGAGCTTGAATGTGAATGCGATCCAAGCTCAACATTTTTCACCTGTCGGAAAAGCTTCCCAATCACACGGCCGGACTCATACGTAGGTTTCTCAACCTTTTCCATGAAATCCGGATATTCCTTGGCACGCAGACCACGCGGCACTTCCACTACCACGCCAGTTTTTGGAGAGTCGACAGCATAGGAACAGAGCTTGGCGAGCTCGATACATTGAGCACTCATGGCCTTCTGTGGTTCTGTGTCTGCAAAGACAGCATGTGCATTTGAAATGATCCCCAACATGTCGTTCACTATGTAGTTTGTAAACGACTCTGCAACTTCCTGCAACAAACAGCATAGAACACCAAATGTTGAATGAATAAGGCAGAAACACGACCGTAGAATATGTTTAAAGGTAACGATAAGCGGCTACATTGTACTTAATAAATTAAGTAATACCTCCATTGTAACGTCATGATCCAATTCAATAGTTGGTGCTGGGGTATAATTCATCGGTCGAACTTTCCAAGGTGGAATTAGATCTGAGTCCCAACTAACAAAGTAAAAATCTCCATCTAAATCTCCTCCTGAGCATTCATCAGGATGCGGTCTAATTCAGAGAGAATAAAATAATGTGAGTACGTACACAATTGAAGGCAACAAATTATTGTAAAACAGAGTAACGCTAATATGCAGATGCAATCCAAAACGAATTTGAAATTTCATCAGCTACAAGATTTGAGAAAGTTGACATACCTCTTTCCTTTTTGCGGGAAAACTACACAATCCACCATGTGGTGCAATGCCGGCACGTCCACAGCTGTGAGAACACGAACATCTCCCGGGTGTAAACATGGGTTTCTAGCAACTACAACATTCCCGTCCACAACAAACTTCTCTTCGCTCGAAGTAGTGTTGCTGTGAGCACTGCCAGTGGAAATCACGCGGTGAGAGCATTGCACAAATACCTGACCATATTCCAACGTTCCAGTTTCATCCAGACATCCCATCATTGATCTTCCACTCGAAACAAATATCCTTGTTTTTGTCCGCAGTTCCATGAGCTTGGATGCGCAGAATGCTTGTAGCATCAATGACAGAAATGGTTCTGTATCCGGCTTGTAACCACACGAAAGCATTTCCTTCAAAACGTCTGTGACCTCCCCTTGAAATATCGTTTCGAGTGCTTCTTTTGCTCTTGATGGGTCAGTTAAAACGCCTTCCAGTTGATTCAAAGCCTGCCTTTGCTTCCTCTGAAAGACATGATCCGGGACTCCAAGGGTGGACAGAAGGGTGATCAGTTGACGATTGAGGAAACAAGGCTGGTACGTGCTCCATTTGAGAACATCAAGTGCTGTGTTGTTGGATTGGTACTTGCACATGCTCTCCCTCAGTGCCAAGTTCTTTGCCAATGACGGATCTACTGCCACGACACCTTTATAGCCACCTCTACGAATTTGAAATGCTGATGGCGTAGAACTTCTCCCGCACTTTCTTGCCACCCTTTCAGCAAATTCAGCAGATATCTTCCCAATTCCATCAGAGAAACAATATTTGACTCCACTCCTTTCGATTTTAACATCAGGAATGAGTTCGATTTCATCCCTATCGACATTAAAAGTCTCCCTGGAAGAGCTGAAAGCCTGGCCCAACCTAGCACCATACTTGGCCACATTTCTGATGTCTCTAAAGTCCCCCATCCAATTTCTAATGTCTTGTGCGCTGAGCTCACTTCTTGACGCAAACATCCACACTGAATGCTCGCGTAACTGACTTGATGAAAAGGCAAGAAACTCAAATTTCTTGTCACCAATGACAATGCCATTTCTTAGAGTAGAAAATATCCTTTCATAAACTCTCGTCCTCCTTTCCTCTTCTGCAGAAGTGTTACTTGTGCGTGGACGCGAACATAAATCTTTCGAATGTATCTTACCCAAGTCCTCATCCACGAAAGAAACACGAAGAAAATTATCAATATCTTGAGGATATTTTCGTAGAACACGGTTGGAAAGATTTACCTCCGGACCACAAAAATAAACTTTAGATGGTGTGACTTGAACCCTGTGCACATACACCATTCCATCATCTAAAGAGATAGCAGGTGTTTCAGGAATTCGCGTGCACGACTTGTAATCTCTGTACTGCTCACAAAGCCAACTCACAGGATCATAGCAGCAGGCTTTCAAGCGAAATAATTTGTCCAGGGCACACTCTATGTAGTCAATTCTTATTGTGCTAGGATCAACTAGCTTATAAAAAGTGACATCAAGTGCTTGCCCTGGAACACGTCCGTGCTGAACCAAGGAATTGATCTTGAACAGGATTTTATACGGCAAGTTAATGCCTTCAGGTGGACCGACAATAGGAACAAGATCTGAATTACAGGAGAAAGGGGTGCCTATCTCCAAAGCGAAGTGTCCTTCAGTTTCTTGGTAATGAAGAAAATTATCACGTAGATTTGGAAGCACAGAACCATATGGAAGTTCCAAACATACAGCAGAAGATTGGCCAATGCAGCACGATGGAGTGAAGTCAACTTCTCGAACCCAGTCATTGTCAGATGTTTGCTTAAATATCCGAGGGGTGCCAAGTAACTAGCAAGAGAAAGAAGAAAGGTAGAGAAAAAATGTTAGTCATTTCCTCTGAGAGTCACACATTACACAGTAAATTATGCTATTTATAATAAAGATGACAGATTGTATCATGATATTCAACGTGGGATCAGAAGTTAATATGAATCTTTTATGCAGGGTGAATTAAACTTTTGTATTAAACAACTTATAAACTTTGATCACTAACTAAAATTAGAAGTTACAATCGTACATTTCATAGCAAATTGTAAAGTAATGGTTCACAAATTTCAGCTATATCATTGTACTAAAGAGAGGGAAAATTGAGAAAATGTGACTGACAAACCTGGATTAGAAGATACTTCCTAAGCTGATCACGCGCGATATGGAGCTCAATCTGGCTAATACTTTCCGTGAAGACCTCAAACTTGTATACAGCAGAATCATAAGAGAACGAGAAGTAGATATTCTTAAATTCTGTCCCAAACTTGACTTGAACATCCGGTGCTGTCCAAAGAACAGAAAACTGCTCCTCGGAAACCAGGCATCCGAAGTGCAGCTTTACACGTCCCATGCTGTGTTCAAAGTTATCAACCTTCCATTTCCTAGCTTTCAGGTAAGAGTCCCCGTACCACAAGCGACGATCATCAGCTAATGGGATTATTATTTCAGCAGATTCTGCATGTGTGAACTCAACTATGGCGGATGATCTTGATTTTCCATCATTTGGGGGACGAACCTTCACGTCAGAGACAGTTCCTTCTCCAGTGTATTCCTCCAGAAACGCCTTCACTGCTTCCGGTGATTCGACAGAGGAAAATCCATACAACTGAATTGTAGTCTTAACCATGTTGATGCTATTGATGGCAACTGCTGTTTCACAAATACAAATTGAAATTAAAAACTGTGAACTCTTTGCAATATCCCTATGCATAAAATACTTGGAAATACAATAAAATGATTGCTAATGCTGCAAAGGAGAAAAGAGTAACGATATTTACACGCACAAAATGACTAACTTGCTAACACAACCTACTAAAAAGTTTCGGTTTTTGTATGTCTAAATAGAATTATCGACGAAAAAAAGGGTGTTACCTTGAATTTGAAATATGTATGAGCACTGAGATTATTACCCACAAAATTAACGCTGCTGTATTGTGAGGAGCAAAGCCAATGAAGCTCACCTGTGTATATATATAGGTCAATCATATGCACTGTAACTAACTTGTAGTTGCAGTTGTAGCAGAATAAACGAAGAAACCTTGTTACCCCAGTTATCCTAGGTACGCTTTCCCCTCTGTCTTCCTGTTAGGCGCCAAATATGTAGAATAACAAGTGTCATGATCTCCTGCTTCGCAGCGACAGCAAATCCTCATATTGTGAAGCTTACACATGGTGACACGTAGCAAGATCATGATGGATGGTTTTATTATTGTCATTTGTATAGTATTGCAATATTAGCGAGTGAGTGAGATAGTTAATTATTAGAATTAAAGAAATTGATGGGGATCGCACTCACACCAAAAAGTATAGGCATAATTGATTTCTGTCATTTTATTTCTTTTATTCACAACTCAGCATAAGTAAATGTTAACTGTATTAGTTTCGAACCTAGAGCATATAGGTGGAAATTCAACACCGTATCTACTAGGATATTGGATCATATGCAATAAATTTCAAGTGTATTACCATTGCATGTAACATAATTCGTATTTTTATAAGTTTGAATTTTATAGTTTTGTACTTAAAAGTTCATAAATCAAATTGGTGTTATAGGGTGATTAACTCTTAATTGAGCTCCTAATGATGAATTGAACAATACGGCCAAGAACCTTCTGGAAGTTTTGGACCAATCCTAAGGTCAGCCCCAAGGAGAAGTTTTGGCCAATAACTTTCAAGAATCTCAAATGTGAGATGGACAAATACCTCCCATGAAGGGTACCCTTGGCGGGCAAGGTTGAGAGCGTATGCTTGATTGAGTGAGGATTTCTAAAAGCATTAGAATTTTTTTAGGGTACTTTTTGGAAAGTTGGTACTTGCTCCGAAAGGAGTCAATTGCCTACTTTGGAGCATCACCAATTCTATGTGCCTGAAGAAAGCAAGAGAACGCGGACATCGGTTGGACCTGTCGGCTTGAGCAGTGTGCTTGATTCTTGCATCCGTGTTCAAATCTCTCTTTCTCTACATTATAGAGGTTTAGAAAATAATTTTGTCCAAAAAAAAGCAAGAGAGTGAAATATTCTCTTAAAAGTACAAGATCATTATAACAAAATTCCCCCTTGAAAATGAATTATTGATAAGCCTAATATCTTATTCTACGATAACAAAGTCGTATCCCACTAAGTAAGATCGGCTGCTAATATCTTATTCTACAAAAATAAACAATGAAACTGCCTTAATTTGCTCGATTTCAACTTCTGCCTACATCTGAAGACTAAAACAGAATCAACTCAAATCACTTCATCTCACCTCTCAAATAGATTTATATAGAAACATGTCGCCCTTGAAATTTAACTATATCAACATCTCGGCAATCTGAACAACATTAAGTGCAGCTCCCTCGCGTATTTGATCACCGCAGACAAAGATATCCAACCTGCGTAGAAAAATGCCAGTAGTGGCTTGTCGAAATATATACAGTTAGAAAGATAGCATTTTGTACCGTTACCCTTACCCATAGTTCCCCTCTTGGGACACAAGACGGCGGATTCTGCTTGCTGCAACATCGTCTTTGTTTGACACCTCCAATGGTGTAGGGAAGTTATTCGCTGTCCGGTCATCAATAACCACCAGTCCAGGCGATCTCTTCAGAATTTCCCTTGCTGTGTCCTGGACAGTGAACAGATTTAGAACTCTAAGGAGAACGTGAAAAAAAAAAAAGTAAATAAATAGAAATTCATAAGACCGTCAGAAAATTCAGCAGAAATTCATCAAGTTGGTTCTCAAACTGAAGATTTATACTCTCAGCATGTGCCCGCGTGACGGGAACTCGTATACATGTGGCAGTTACCTTGACATCATTGTCACTCTGAGGAAATGGACAACGAATAAATGATACATACACCTATGTTATTAGAATCTCCAAACTTACAAGCTGCTTTCCAATTAAATTACTCTGACTGATGAAAATCGTAAAGAAATTAACCCATATTTTTCTTGTCTCCTTGACTAGTTTCATTTTCTCTTCATTGTATCCATTTGAAAGAACTGCCGAGTTGTGCGAAAACAAATTAAACGCATACTGCAACACGCAAAGGCAAGCGTACGGTTCAATGATGCATCATGGAAAAAAAAATTTAATTTCCACAACAAACTTGAATAATTCACAACAAATAGACCGACCTGCCGCGAGAATATCTTAGTGGTCGGCGGCTTCCCTTCCAGGACCTTTGTATAGAAATTAAATTACATTACTTAAAACGGAAACCGAAAAAAAACAAAGAAAAAAAAAGACAACCAAAATCATGAGAGTGATGAAGTAAATAAGAAACCTCCTTAGTTTGCAGCTCAAGCTCTCTCATGGCAGCAGCACCAGCTCCACTAGCAGCCTGATACGTGCTAACCACCATTCGTTTTACCTGAAAACGATTCATAAAGCATAACCCAATGTAACTCGATTAATTTCACAAAACCCCAATTAAAAATTCACATATAAAATCCAAATATAACTCCAAAGCAAACAACTTTGTAGCTCAAAGAAACAAACTCAAGAAAACCCGATTTCAAAACAAACCCGAAAAAAATGCACAAAAATCTCATAACAAAAGCAAAGCAATCAACTTTATAGCTCCACAACCAAAAACCCATTTCAAAAAGTTTCAAAACTTCCAAAATCACAAAAGATAAAAGGAAAAATAATTGCCAACCTTAGAATGGCGATGGAGAGGGGTGACAGCCATTAAACAAATAATGGTGGAGCAATTTGGGTTAGCAATGAGCGCTCCCGGGCTAAGAAGAATTACGAAAGTATTTTAGCATTTTCTATCTACTATTGTGTAATTCTTCAGTGTTGAGAATTGAACTCAAGACGTGCCATAGAAATACTCAATACCGATCATTTATCGCAACTAATACAAACATGAAACCAAGGAGCTCAGTCCTTGAGTTAAATTTTCCCTTAATAGAGATCAAAATTAGTTGTTAATTTTTGTCCGTTGATCTTCTTCAATTCATCCGATCCGACAACTGAAAACCAAAAGGATATGAGAGAAGTAAAAAGGGATGTGTGGATATCATACCTCTCAAATTTTCTCATTTTCTCGATAAGTTATTGTATCGAGATTATAATCGAGTAAATGACGAGAATGACCTTTTAAAGGGAACAATGTTCTCGTCACATGTTACTATTTGATTGAAAAAATGGAGATGCAAATGGATATAGGTATCAAATTGTAACACCGTTTAAAGTGTGAATGTTGTTTACAGATCAAGTTTCATGGGCCATTTGGGCCTAATATGAATAACCAAAAGTTAACTTATTGGGCTTGAAGTATCCAACGGGCCAGTATGGGCCTCCGTGTGATGAGATACCATCCAGAAATCAGAGCGAATAAATTAAAGATGTGTTATCTATACATCCCTTTTTACTTCTTTCACATCTCTTGTTAATTCCTATCATTTGATATTCATTAATTCATTTGATTTGAAGATCGAAAATTAGAATGATGTGAGAGCAGTAAAATGGAGTATGTGAATATCACTCCCAAAAATTAAACCCAAAAGCACTTTTCAATGTTGACTTTCACAGTTTCCCTAACTTTTTAAAAGAAACTGCTTTCCTTTATTTTTGTGCCAAATTTTGTTTTTTCAATTTAATAATTTGGTTTTTGATGGTCAATATTCATTATATTCAGGCCACCAGCCCCAAAAATGAATATAAAAAATTATAATAAATGGCCATGACAAATAAGCAGGAGTTGCAGATATCCCCTTCTGAAATTTGTTGATGCATTTGCTATTCTTTGGCTATGTTTGACTGGAAATCACGATGAATATCCATTTTCCTAGGTTTTTAGAAAATGAAAGAGGATGTTTGATGTTTGGCAGAGCGGCGAGTGCATGCAGGACCACCTTATGTAATTATGGATATAATTTTGCAGTATTTGGATGCACGGCCGATGCATGCTTGCATGGCCGGACTTTACAAATTTGTATTACCAGTCCAAATGATCGATCCCCCTCAAGTCAAGACCTACACGGCCTAGTGTGCTCCATGAACCCACCTGAGTATATATGTATGTATATATGTAACCCATAATATACATACATATAATTCATTACACACACACACACACACACACACTAAAATCGGTATATTATGGTGGCCGTTTTCATACTTCTCTTTAGCTATCTACACTCTCCGTCATATAATTTATAATTTTTTCTACACTTGGAATATCACGGATTATTTTGTAATCGTTTCAATAATTACACTGCATGCATGCAAGTGGATCCAATTTAATTTCATTTCTCTAAAACTTTCATCGTTAGATGATAATAAACTGGTTAAGGGCAACGATCTTCATACTTCTCTTTTAGCTATCGGCAGTTCAAATTATTTTTACTTTTATATGCATTCGCTTGCACGGGGGCTGGAGGAAGTTTCGAAAAATCAGTACTAAAATCACTATCCTACTTTCGTTAAAAAGGTTAAAACTTGATTAATTAGATTATACATTGTCATTAAGCTCATCTTCTTGTGATCATCGTTTAGTTTGTTAGACTGCATGCACGTAATTAAGTCTAAGTGGATCTCGTTCAGTTTTAGTTAGGCTTTAAGTAGATCATTTGTCTAAATTGTATGAACATTACCAGCTTTAGTTTCTTTTGTGTTTCCACGTTGCTCGAAAAAGAAGATGATCAACCAAACTAGATACTTTTAAAGAATAAAACAAGACATTGGGTGGAGTTGTGCCCATCCCTACTTGGATCATAAAAATACTGACATTAATCAGACACTGAAAGTAACACTTCCATGATCCATCGCAGTACAAAGATATATACATATATATGCCCCCAGGAAAGGGATTTAATTAGCTACAAGTGGACCATATAATCTCTATGATGCTCTTCATGTTAATTAATTAACTGATACATATGACGAACATTCTGCTGATCAGGTACTTATGTAAGTAGAAGATGTGCACTTGTAGGCTAGCTTGCTTAACTATTTGATCTGCAGTGAGTATATGGTAAAATAACAATAATTGCAAATTTATGATTATATTAGGTTAAATGGTCTTCTATGTTTTTGTTGGTAAATAAAGTAAAATGATCTTGGTCTTGTAGATCTAGAGGAATATCATTCGTTATATAAGGACAAGATAATAGAAATTAAAAAGTTTTAAACTTTGAAAAATAAATGACATATGCATAACACTCATAAATTAAGCGAACATTTGATAAAGATTTCATTTTTAATTTTTAGTTTATGTATATATTATACATTTTTATTAATTGAAAACTTGTTTTATAACTGTTTTTTAGCTTTCCAAAAAAAAAAAAAAAAAAAAAAAAAAAAAAAAACATGTATTGATAATTGTTTTCAAGTTTTAAAAATGAAAACTGAACGGGCCTCGAAGTCTACCATTTGTAGAAAAATTCGACTACCATTGTATCTAAATAAAGAGAGATTTTTCAATGTACACGGAACATAGGGTGAGACACCACATGTAATTATACAATTGGGAAGACACTTGAAAAAAAAAATTCCACCAATCATGATAATATGTGGCAACTACTTCATGTTCCGAGCACACAAAAAGACTCTCCTAAATGTGTACTATAGAAAGCCTATTATAGCATAGATTAGTGAATATTTTAGATTTATAACCCTCTTGGCTAGGCTAGGTGTAATTTTTTAATTAATTTAATAAAATTCTATTATACAATTGAGTTGGTTTATTTATTTTCTTTTTATTTTTTGAACACATGATATTATCTACACTAATGGGGAGAGGGTAGGCTTAGCGTCACAATGAGCTAGCAATAATGTGGTTCAAATTCGCCTTCGGCGAGAATTAAACCTATAACCTTTCATTTACAAGTGAAGAAATACCACTAGACTGTAGTACCAAGTATGTTTGTGTTAAAGTTTAGGTATGTTTTTATTAGGTTTAAGGTATGTTTGTAAACACAAACCAAAGGAATATGTGGAGAGACAAATAGCAGAAGGGCACATTTAAGAGTGAAGGAAAAACTTAAGAGCCTCGTCCTTCTTGTTGGAATTTTTGGATTGCCAGGCCAGCCTCACTCTAACGACACCAATACTGTTCCCAACTTTACCACTTGCCCAATCTGTCAGGTGTGGAATTTTACCACAAAATGCCTCGGCCTCACTCTAACAACACCAATACTGTTCCCAACTTTACCACCTGCCCAATCTGTCAGGTGTGGAATTTTACCACAAAATGCCTCGGTATTAGTTAGAGTGGGGTAATCATATTTAAACCCCTTGGTTTCCTTTCCCACCATCGATGTGGGACTTTAACACTCCACCTCACGTATAACCTCATTTAGTGGTTCACATGTGGAGATCCACATCGGTAATTGAAACTCAGAGGTCAACTCACATTGGGCCCACTTGTTTTTAATTGGAACTCAGCAGTCGTCTCTATATTAAGAGCTCCCACTTGTTTCCTTCACGGTGGTGACAAGCTCATTGGCTTGCACACAGGCTCGTGTGGGGTTTTACCACAAAATACCTCAGTTTAAACCCCTTGGTTTCCTTTCCCACCACCGATGTGGGACTTTAACACTCTCCCTTACATGTAACCTCATTTAGTGGTTCACACATGGAGATCCACATCGGTTATTAGAACTCAGCGATCGTCTCTATATTAAGAGCTCCGACTTATTTCCTTCCCGGTGGTGACAAGCTCATCGGCTTGCACATAAGCTCGGCCCCCACCATCGATGTGGAACTTTAACACTCCCCCTTCTGTGTAACCTCATTTAGTGGTTCACACGTGGAGATCCACATTGTAATTGAAACTCAGAGGTAACTCAGTGGTCGTCTCTATGTTAAAAGCTCCCACTTGTTTCCTTCCTGGTGGTGACAAGCTCATTGGCTTGCACACAAGCTCGTGTGGGGTTTTACCACAAAAGACCTCAGTATTAGTTAGAGTGGGGGTAATCATATTTAAACCCCTTGGTTTCCTTTCCCACCACCGATGTGAGACTTTAACACTCCCCATTACGTGTAACCTCATTTAGTGGTTCACACGTGGAGATCCACATCGATAATTGAAATTCAGAGGTCGGTTCACGTTGGGCCCACTTGTTTTCAATTGGAACTCAGCGGTCGTCTCTATATTAAGAGCTCCGACTTGTTTCCTTCCCAGTGGTGACAAGCTCATTAGCTTGCACATAAGCTCGCCCCTCACCATCGATGTGGGACTTTAACACTCCCCCTTACGTGTAACCTCATTTAGTGGTTCACACGTGGAGATCCACATTGGTAATTAAAACTCAGAGGTAACTCAGCTGTTGTCTCTATATTAAGAGTTCCCACTTGTTTCCTTCCCGGTGATGACAAGCTCATTGGCTTGCACACAAGCTCGTGTGGGATTTTACCACAAAAGACCTCAGTATTAGTTAGAGTGGAGGTAATCATATTTAAACCCCTTGGTTTCCTTTCCCACCACCGATGTGGGACTTTAACACTCCCCATTACGTGTAACCTCATTTAGTGGTTCACACGTGGAGATCCACATCGGTAATTGAAACTCAGAGGTCGGCTCACGTTGGGCCCACTTGTTTTCAATTGGAACTCAGCAGTCGTCTCTATATTAAGAGCTCCGACTTGTTTCCTTCCCGGTGGTGACAAGCTCATTGGCTTGCACACAAGCTTGGCCCCCACCATCGATGTGGGACTTTAACACTCCCCCTTATGTGTAACCTCATTTAGTGGTTCACACGTGGAGATCCACATTGGTAATTAAAACTCAGCGGTCGTCTCTATATTAAGAGCTTAGACTTATTTCCTTCACGGTGGTAACTCATCGGTAGTCTCTATATTAAGAGTTCGGACTTGTAACCTCATTTAGTGGTTCATACGTGGAGATCCACATTGGTAATTGAAACTCAGAGGTAACTCAGCGGTAGTCTCTATATTAAGAGCTCAGACTTGTTTCCTTCCCGGTGGTGACAAGCTCATTGGCTTGCTCACAAGCTCGTTGGCTTGCACGGGCCCGCAACCGTGGGCTTTGATACCATGTTGGCATTTTTGGATTGCCAGGCCCACCCCACTCTAACGACACCGATACTGTTCCTAACTTTACCACTTGCCCAATCCATCAGGTGTGAGATTTTATCACAAAAAACCTCAGTATTAGTTAGAATGGGGTAATCATATTTAAACCCCTTGATTTCTTTTCCCACCACCGACGTGGGACTTTAACACTTCTCAAGTCTCAACCTAACCAAATGATACTTAGACGATACCCTAAAGCCTAATGCCCTCTCTCCTATCTCCATTCCGCCACAGTACCTCCTCCTTTTTTAAGTCACGAGACCCAGTACTACTGTCTCAGCTAGCTTTGTGCTTTCATTTTTTTTATAATTTTATTACGAGAGAGAGAGAGAGAGAGAAGATATAGATGAGTCCAAAGGGGTTTGGCAGAGAAACTGATAGAGAACTTTCAAAGCTCTTTTTCTTCCACCATCACTCAACTAGCCTCTATATTGCTGTCTCAAACTGAAAGTCTTATAATTTTCTAAAAGCTTTAGTTATCCGTCTTCCCATCTGCGAGAGAGAGATATATATATATATATATACTTCTTCGCCTCACATTCACATTTTCATTTCTGTCTTTCTCTGTCGGTACCATGTAGGTCTTCCCCCACACTTTTCTCACCTGCTGCTTGCTTCTCTTCCCCTTCCCTTTAATTTTCCTCCTGCCCTTTTTTCTATACTACTACTTTGTGTGTGTATATATATCATTTTTAAAGTTAAACAGCAGTACTATTATTGGTTTTTTTTATAAGAATCTTTTATATATTTATGGATTTGCAGGCGACCTGACGAAGGAAACCCACTAGACCTCAACAACTTGCCTGAGGATCATTTCGGCAGGGATGGCAAACAAGTTGCCGACGACAGCTCCTCCGGTACTATTCAATTTTCTGATATCCTACTTCCATTCCCCAAACTAAACCAAGGCAAAACCAAATAACCCTTAAATTTGTATTATTGTCTAAGGGTGCATTTTTCTTGTTTTGTTTCTCTCTTCAAGTCCCGCACCCCCCCCCCCCCAATAAAAAACTAGATTATGGGCTTGAATTAATTGATGAGCTTAAAATTTATTCATGGTGATTGTTGGTTAATTAATAAATTAGGTAGGGTTTGAGCTGATTAGGTTGTGTCTTATCGAAGTTGCTTTTGTTTTGTTTGTTGATTGGGGGTTTCACATAGTTGCAGGCACCTACAGAAAAAAGAAAAGCAGTACAAAAGATGGAAAAGACGAGAGCGGGAAGGTCTACGAGTGTAGGTTTTGCTCCCTCAAGTTCTGCAAATCTCAGGCCCTCGGGGGACACATGAACCGCCACCGTCAAGGTACCCTCTCCTCGTTTCTCTTAATAAATTCAATTTTTACTAGAAATTCACAAGCAGCTTTTCAGCGAAGCATAAATTTTAGAGAATTTTAACGCAAAGATTATGGTAGTATTTATTTTAAAGAAAAATTATATTTTTATATTAAAAAGTCAATATTGGTACTATTCATTTTATCTTTTATTTTGTCCTTATCGTTAAAACTTAAAATTTTTATGTATTTTTCATTAATTTTCTTGAAATTTTATATTGACATCAAAGATTCCAGCCATGAAGTGTCTTCGGTCATTTCATTATCTTTGAGGAAAAGAAAGTTTGTGATTTGATTTGATCGTTTGTTTTCTTTTGCTGATATGCTTGCTTGGTCATTTAAGGTTCATCTGCTTATTATTTATTTATTTATTTTTGGTTCTGGATTCGTAGCTATATATATAATATTTATTAATTTGTGATTTGATTTGTGTGTTGGAATGGTCATCAGAAAGGGAGACAGAACAACTAAACCGGGCTCGTCAGTTGGTTTTCAATAACGATAACCTGGCCACCCCTCCTCCTCACCTAGGGTATGTAATTTTATGCTTTAATTTCTCTTCCTTTTTCTTTTAACAAATTAGTTGGTAATGCAAGGCAGTGTCCTCTCCCTCCGCACTTAAAGATCGAATCTTCGTCAGATTATTTTGGTATAAAATATGTTTTTGTATAAAAGTAAATAAAATAGTTGGTTATATACAAATTTATTCAGTGTGATTTGATTTGTGTGCTGGGTTTGATATTATTATAGATGCTGCCATCCGATTCCCCAAGGAGGGTATCATCATCCGGCTGCTGCAGGCAACAACAATGGTGGTGTTGATCCAACTTTACCTCTCAGATTCCCACCAAGAATTTTTTCTGGTTCTTCATCAAACACCCTTATACCGCCACCACCGGTACCGGCACCGCAGGGAGGCGTACAAGTACAACCTCCTCAACCCTACTTATATCCGTCTCCGTCGCGGCCCATGTCCTTCCCTGCTTCTTCCCATTACCCTCATCATCAAGTCAATGACTATTACGTTGGACATGTTCTTAGCAACAACACTACTGGCACTCCTTCATACGGCAACCCAAATGTAAACTACGGAGTGGCACCGGCGGAGTCCACCAACTACACTTGCATTGGGGCGCCTGTGGGACCAGGAGGCGGTGGAGGTAGTGGTGGTGGTGGTGGTCGTAGAGACGGATCGCTGCACGTGAATCAGGAAGAAGGATTGAATTGGAGCAGGAGCTACGCAGGGACTCCTTCGATCAATCGATTTCAACATGGCTTCTAATATTAATTAAAATACTTCTTTTTTTCTCTTCTTTTTTTGGGTTTTTGTTTTTTTGTTGAGTGAGCGATAGTCTGAAGCATTATTATTAGGGTCTCTGCCTTGACACGCCACCCAGAACGGACAGAGAGAAAGAGAGAGACTTTACAAGCTGACAAATGGGGTCATGAGACAGAGGAAGGAGATGAGTGAGAGGTTTTTTGGTATTTTTCTACAGGGGGGGGACTGGGACAGCTTTTGAGCTCATCGACACCCTCAGCAACTTTGGCTTCGAGTGGAAATTAAGAAAATGTTGTTGTAACTTGTTGAAGGATTTCAACATTGAAAATCTGAGTGTGTATACTCCACACCAAAAGTCTGAAAAGGGGAACTAGAAAAATGGATTGTGGGACAACAAGTTAGATTTGAACTGAAAGTTGCCAACCCCCTTTTAACGTTTCGTGTTCGTTTTGCATGCCAATCAATTTCTTTTCCTTTAGCTTTCTTTTTCTTTTGCTTCCTTCCATTTCCTTTTCCTAGAGCATTTAATTTATATGGTTTCAGCGATTTGACCAAAGGAAATTAGGGTGGCTGTTTCTCTCTCTAGATTTCTTGGTGTAGTGTGTAATCTCTGATCCACCCCAAAAATTAGGGTCTTCTGGTTTCTGGGTCATATGTGGTCACAGTGTCACACCATGCTTGCAATCTAGGGGGCAATATGACCTGTTGAGAAACTCGCAATTCCACCTTGTTTTTGGCTGCAACTTCCCTCACCAGAAACAATCACATTTCTTGTCTCTTAAACGATACCCCTCCAAACTCCAAAGCATAATCCAGATCCCCACTGTTAGCATATATCCATGTATGATCCGTTGATTGCATGTAACTCGGAGAACATTAGTCTTGTTTATTGGTATTTCCCCGATATTGGGTACATTAGTCATGTGTTAACACATATCTTAAGAAAAATGGTCATAGTTGAAAATACTTACTATGCATAAAATGAACAACATCACTACCAGGAAGGTTATGGGCAAGGGAACAAAGGAATCAGCTAAAGAATCCCTAAAAAGTGCGAAGAATATGGGCGTGGCAAGTATTGAACACTATACCACTTACGTCCTTAGATACACAATCCAAAGACTTCCCAATTTTCTTTGACAGTCGTTAGATTTGATCCAAGTCCTTTTGTGGCGGAATATTTTTACTTCAGTATAATTCCTAGATATTTAATTTTCTCATGAAACAAATAACCAATTACAATCTTTTTGATATAATTTTATGTGGCTTCGCTATTTAGAGCGATGACCGGTGTTGTCACCAATTTGGATTCGTTGCATCTATCGTGTTGTGGAGTAGATTTATATTGGTGTTGTTTGTAGTTTTGTTCATGTGAAAGCTGTTTAGGGATTTACTCTTCTTGTTTGTCTGTGCAAATCCACTCCACAATAATTTTTTGGTCACTGGAGCTATGTATTGACACCTCTATATTTGTTTACGGTGATCAATTAAATTCCACTGTAACATTTCTTGTCAAGTATAAAAGTCCATCTAACCTTATTTTCCACATTACATGGATAAATTACTGTATGAAAATATCACACATTTTCAAATTCAATAATACAAAGCATCCTAACGCAAGTACAGTACCTTTCTACTCAAACTTAAATTTCTTCCACAGTCACTCTGCTCTCTCTCGAAAATTATAACTTTTCCCATGTGAAAACATTACCCTACCATTGTGTTGAAATATTTACTAATTATATATATAGATAGATATATATTTGTCCGCAATAATTTATATGTTTGTAGGATAAGCGACTTTGAAATAAAATAAAAATGCGGATTCTTTAATTTTGACCTAATATATAGAATGTTATCACATTGATTTTAAGAGAAAAACAAATAAGACTTGTGCAATCTGAGACATGGACTGATGACTTCAGAAAAAATTTGAACCTGAAACCAATTAAATAATCATGGTGGGTGCATATTGTCTCTTAAATTCCGGATTGATTGAGAATCTCGTTAAATGAAAGCCACAGGGCCATGAAGAACACAGAACACTTTACTGCAGCGCTAACCCTAGCTATGGTGTGAGTATGGAGGAAGAATCAGCTGGCTTAAATATGTGGATAGAGCAACCTATTTTTCGGCCAACTGCTGAGGCTGAAGATTGAAGGCGATTAGGGGTTCAGGTGCTTAAAAGTGCAACTTGAAGTGACTGATGAAGATTGGTAATTTGGTAGGGAGGAGGGTGGGGCACCAGGAGCTACATAAGAGACAGATAGTCGAAGATAGAAGACACCAAAAAGAGCAGCCCTAGCCCTAGCTATATATATAGCTAACCCTAGTTTGTTGCAGACTAAACCTGCACACACACACACACACACAGACGTATCTATATACATATATACATAAATAGATGTATATAATATATTATGTTTATGTAAAAGGTTAAGCTGGACTGCAACCATCTACACTACCGCTAGTTGTTTTTGCAGATAAGAAATCACATTGTTAACTATCGGAACTACATCTGAGGCCCATACTGGGTACTGCTAGCAAGCTAGTGTTCAACCTGATTTGGTTAGCAGCTAAAACCTAGGTGGACCCACAAGCACATATTTATACAACTGAAGATCCTTCTAGTTATTTACTTTTTGTTATATTATTTCTATTGCAAGGTTCTGGATCCTAATTAATTAGTTTGATTGTAATTTATCAATCTTCCTTAGCATGGATTTCTCTTTCAAAGTTTACAAATGATAGAGATTAATTCGAACTTGGGTGGGAGAACACATTGTTTTAATAAACTTGACTACACTCATATGCTTCTTCGTTAACATGGTGAAACTTAACTTGCTAATTAGTGAATAACTACCGATAGTGCCATGACGAAGCTAGAACTTTGTCCCGACGAGACCCCACGTATTCTCCTTTACTTTTGAAACCTCTCAAAGACATTTCACCACCTCAAAATCTTCACTTGCAGAACAAATCACAAACCAGAGCAGAGCTATAGCTAGGTCAGACTGGATGTTCTAGCACATTCAATTACTGATCATAAGTAGAGGCTGGCGCCCTACCCTAAATGTTACAATAAAGATATAAAGTTAAGTAACATTTGATTATCTAATTTGTAGGTATCTTTCATTGGATATGGTATTTGTTTTAAATAATTTACTGACAACTAACTGCTATATATGCAGCAGCAGTGATATCAACAAAAAACGACAAATGATCCCACAAAAAAAAAAAAGGATCAATCAACTGTACTATATATAAATGCAGTCTATGAACAGAGTTTAGGGTTCCCCTAGTGGTATGCATGCAGCGAGTCTATTCCTCAAAATTGGTGCGACCCCAAGAGATGAATATCTCTAATGAAGAAAGGTACGAGACTGTATAGGTTGACAAAGATCCGGGCACAGAGAGAGAGAGATGGATCACCGATAATTGGATGTTTCACATGGACTACCACGATATTTTATAACCAGAGAAGGCCAATAATTAGGAAAGCACTTTACATGGCTCGGGTGTATCATTAACTTGGTGTATTGTGTTAATGATATATACAACGTCATGTTAACAAAAACTTACACATGTTTTTGTAAAATTTATACGGAAGCTAAAGTGACAAAGTATCCAACAAGAAACTACACTCCTAAAAGTCATTCCAACAAGAAACTACACTCCTATAAGTTGATAAATCTAATAATAATATTGTATAACTTAATACTCGAGAGAGAGATCAGAGGCTGGAACTGAAAATATGAGAGAGAGGTGGTGCGTGCATGCATAAACTACTAAATAGCCTCAGTAATAGTAGACGGGCTAATCGGAGATAGAGTAGACCAGCTTTGCTTATGCACGCAATATACATATATACATACATACATACATACAATTTTGAGAGAATGTTTAAAGCTGTTTTGAAAATTTTATCAGCTTTTACAGTGAATTATTTGATCTCTGTGACTATAGGTATAGCTAATAAGTTAACTGATCCATCATGACTCTATCAGTTTCTGTATCTTTATTATCTCTTTCACTTATTTGGTTTGCTAATAGTTCCTGATCATATGATCTGATATGGTCTGAGATATCTCCGTCTCTGTGTGTGCGTGCGAGTATTGTGTGTACTCTGGTACTCTGTGAGGGAAAGAAAGTAGCTAGTAAGGTTTTTTCTCTTTCTTTCAAGTACCAAAATACTTTAACTCGACACTGCCCCGGCCCATTCAACGTGCGTGAATTAATGGTTTCCATCACTGTTTACAAAGAAGAAAGCGACTGTAGCAGCTAGCTAGGCAAACCAATTGGACCATTGGAAATTTCTCTTGTTTTTTCTTTTTTGGCAATTCTAAACCTAGCAACAGCTAGCAATACATAATCTCCATCTCCAGGACAATAAATAGTTTTTCTTATACTACCAGCTGTGACAGAAAGCAAGTATTAATTGAATGACATCCAGAAAGCACAAGTAAAAGAACCTAATAGGTGGTATATATAATGCCTCTTACTATAAGCTCTACACTTTCTAGGAGTTCAAATAGTAAACGAATTAAACAAATAGCAAAAATACCGAAAACGTCCTAAAATCTTAGAATGATGATAAAACATAGTAAACAATAGAATTCATCTAAAAATGCACATTTTACGGTAGCCGTGAGTTAGGCTTGTGAGTCTGTGACCCGTTTGATCTACACCTTTCCATTTGATCTGTGATCCATTCCTCAAATTGCATTCTCCATGATGCTGATTTATTACGCTTTTTGTTTCGATCTTCAATCAATTCGGTCGTCTTGTGTACATTAAGAAAAAAGAAGTATAATTTTGCATCCAAATTATAAAAACATCTGTTTAATCTTCAAGGTTGATTAATGTAATTCTTCCCGTTTTTTCCCTTTCATAGGTCAGATTAGCTGGGTTGAACTCGTATTCAGTAATTTGGTTAGAATATGGATTTTTTTTCTCACTTAGTATCAATGTAACCCGAATTTCCAATCAATATTTATATGGGGCTTTTAGATCTAGGTCCAAAACCATAGATGATTTTTAGGAGTGAGTCCAATTATTTAATTACATGTTTTTATTTCTTTTATACTCATTTCATATTTTTTTTAAATATTAAAAATCAATTAAAATCTTCTAATATTATGCATTTTTCAACTCCAAAAAATCTAATTAATATCTTACAACAAAAAAAAAACTAATATACTAACATAAATTATCTACAAAACATTGTACCTTAACTCAAGTAACAAATATATGAATATATATTATACCTGTAAGCAAGATATGAAACCTAACTAAAAGGTAGGAAAAAACATAATATACCTATAAGCAAGACATATGAATTTGTGACACGTTGATTATAAAAAAGAATTTGTCATATAGATACATAAAAATAAATTAACATGTGATATAGGTTGATTATAAAAATTAAAAATAAAATCTATAAATGGGGTTTAAAGCAGGAGGAAGAACAAAAATAACAAAAAATAAAAATAAAAAGAAATAATCAAAGAGATAATTAGGAAAAATTTTGATTTTTATAATAAATCTTATCATTGAATAGATAATTATTGATAATTAAATAATTAAATTTAAGGAATTGGACTTATTTTAATATATTGGACTGTTCCTACTACTGGTTAAAAAAATTGAACTTATATCAAGTTTTCCCTATTTATTTATATATACATCCATTTAAAAATCCCTAATTAACGGTACAAAAAACATTTTAGAATACTTGGTGGATTGCCTTGCTTGGATTATTCACGATAAATTTAGCTACTTGTTTTTTTTTTTTCTTCTCTTTTTATACTTTTTGGCATTTGCTCCATTATTTGTTGGAGAAAAGGCAACACAGCTGCAATTGATTTGACTTGTTAGAGCTATCTACAAATTAAGATAATCACATGAAATAGTGACATGTGAACATCTTCCCGTTCAATTGGGAGCTACAGGAAACTATAGGACATGCGTATGCAAGCTTTTCAAATGATGATAGTACTAGAGGTACTGCTGTAATTTAAATTTTCTTTGTTTTTAATTTCTCATGAGGACCCTGTTCATTCTTTGTTAATCCAATTGTACTCATGTATGGCAGGAAATTTGTGAGTACAATTCCATAAATCGTGGATTGCAACAGTATACCCACAGAGGAGGTGCCACTGCCCGACCCATTTGTACAATTTGCTGTAGAAAAAGCTCGGGTACGTAAAAGTTATTTCATCATTGTTTTTGTATATAGGTCAGCCGCAATGGACATAAACATGCTCTCATATGTGTAATGTCAATGAACGTTTCTGAAATCTTAACAGTAAAAAATAAAAAATAGTTGGAGATTATTAACATTCGATATATGCATAGAGGATTCTATTGGTTCTCTTATTTATTTGCTTAATTGTTGTTTTACTGATCTGGATGAAGAATTACAGTTCCTGAAGTCATAAAAAAAAAATGCAACATTTTACTTCTTTTAACTCCTACTTTCATAGTCTTAGCAGGAAGCTTCATAGTCTTCTAACTATTGTTCCTTTTCTTTTCTAAAAATGGATGGCAAACTCCCATCTTTCGTAGGAAAAGATGAAGAAGCAGCGCGGTGAGAAAAATGTTGTAGCTGACTCAAGGAACCCTCCGAACAACCGATCAAAACAAACTAATGCTAGAGAGATTAAATTTGGAAACTAAACCAACATGTTTATTCTATACATTTAAATAATTAAATGATCTCCGATTGAAATGATTTTGAATGGGTGATCTTCAAATGAGAATTAAGAAATTAAATGATTCTAATTTTGAAATTTGTACGATTAATATACGTTATTTGCAAGGGAAAATGAGCTCATCCCTAAAAAAAGAAATTCAAACCGATCAGTGGGGAGTTCCCTACTCAGTTAATAAAGTCCCGATTAACTGAATGGATCCTAATTTAACCACCCTTCACTCCAGTTACTAGCCTTGCCTTCGTCATCCCCCCAGACATACTGAAAACCATGTCTTTTGAACCAAACGCAATGTCCATCTTCCAAATCTAAACGCTTCACTTTATATTGAAAAAGCCAATTAATGGTTAAATCCGATACTATCTTAAATCGAGTCAATGTAGAAGAAATATTAGTATCCATATATAATGCGGATATAGTCAAATAGTAAAGTTTCTCATCTTTGCTTTATTTACAAATTTCATCTTCAACAAACGTAGATTCATTTCAATAATTTTTTTCATTAATGAAATTATCTTGTTATACAGTATTTCTCTACAAATATATACACATAAATATCTTCATATTATAACTAACTAAATTTAAAATATATGGATAAACACTACACATGCAAAAGTACGACTTACAACTATCCTGGCCCCTAGCCTATATGTACGTGTGGACTAACGAGGGCTAGGTGTTTGATGATTGAGAAGTAACCAAACAAAGCAGTTCTGGTTTGGTTGTAGCTATAGCTCACTTTGGACTATAGTTAGAACCATCTTTAGTTTTTAGTTGGCCAAATTGGTTAATGGTTCTGGTAATAGAGTATTCAGAATATACTCTGTACGGTAGAAAAATTATGATTTAAACTCTCGTAATGAAGACGGTTAATAAATCTTAAAAATGAAGTTTCTATTCAATATCTGTTAAATGCAGAAATAAATATGTATTTTTGTTCAACCCCACGCTCTCTTTCTTCACGTTCGTCTCTATTCTCTCTCTAATCTGTATCTCCACCAACATTTTCAGATGAATATATAATGAATAATGAATCAGCCCATCAACATAAAAAAATAAATCAGCCAAACCAACATATTTTTTTTCTGAAAAAATATTAAAATTGCAGAAAATTATTTGAAAATGAATCAGCCTCATCCAAGAGAGATTTTTAGGTTTCAGATGGATAGTTTCCGAGTAATGCTAGAGGGACTAAATTTGTAAACTAAATAATGTGTTATCCATAGAAATGAGCATGTCTATCAACGTTTAAGTAATAAATCAATTATTAACTTCCATATCCTTCAAATGAAGTACTAAGTAACATATAGAACCGTTTATTTATTTGATACATTTAGGTGATTGAAAAATCTCCAATTTAAATTATTTTTTTGTACATATGATCTTAAATGAAGATTAATAAATTAAATGGCTTTGATTATTAATTTTATATGATCAAGATACATTAAAGGGGATATGTGTATCCCCACATGGGGATGCAATGATTATTCATAGTGGAAGGTACAGCTGGGAGGTCTAAAGCAAGCAACCAATGGAGAATTAGGGTTTTAAAACGAAATTCAAGACGAAAACGACTGTTCAGTTCCGCAATATCAATGTGGGTTGTTGCTGAAGATCACTTGGTTGAGCACCACCACCACCTCTTATGGCATGTTATGATTCAAACCAGGTGTTCTTTTTTTGGTCCGATATATATTACCTCATATATATAGCTGTCTAATTATAACTCTCTCTCTCTCTCTCTGTCTCTCTCTCTCTCTCTCTCATGCATGCTGCTAAATGCTAACCCAACAATGTTACATCTTTGTCACGACGCAGACAGAGACACAGTGAATATAAACGTACGGCTAATTGTTGTATGTGTGCCCTTCAGAAGTGTTTGCTGAAGTTTCATGCATGAGTACTTAATTAAAGAGTACTGTTGTCTTTTGAGAAATCGACGTGGGTTTTGTGTTTGCATGAGTAGAATTCTCTCCCTTTTTTTTTCTCCTCTTTTTTCCTCTCATTCTATTTGAACGGTCACGGTTAAACCATATTAACATCTTATATTAATTTTATATAGAAAGACAAAGACAAAATAGAGAATGTGAGAAGAGGGAAGGAGATAGAAAGAGGAAGGGAGAGAATTCTAGTCCTTGCATGAGAGAAGCTTGACTCTCTATCTATGATATATATATATATATATGTATGATATATAAACAGAGATCCCAACCGGATCTTACCCACCAAATCTTAAGGATCTGGAGATCCGGATCCTTGAAATTTGATCCAACGGCTACAAATGGCTTCCTATTTATAATCGTTAGATCAAATATTCAATTGTCCGGATTCTTAGGACTTGGTGGGGGAAGATCTGGCTGGATCTCTATCCTGTACAACTATACCCACCATCAGGTCATGTAAACTTTGTCTCTCCTTACCACTGTACTGTGACCTTTATCATTAGCCTAGCTGCTAGCTAGGTTAAATATATAACATTTATATTATATATGCAATAGTGCAGCCTTGTATAATTAGGTCTAGCCTCTAGGCTAGGGCACTAGGGTTCTCAGATCGAGGTTCATCAGGCTGTGGCAGCAGCTGTTATAGATAAATAGCAGTGTCGTTGTAGATCGGATCGGACTCTTTGGGAAAGCAAACAAGAATGTTTTGGTTTGTTCTGATCATCCATGTCAAACCTTTTTTCCTTTTGTACGGTTTAGGGTTTGGCTTTCATCTTCTTTTTTTTTTTTTTTCTGGTTGTTTTGCAACCAATCAATGTTTCCAAATTTCATGTTACCGTCGTTCTCCTCATACATATATACGGTTCTAGTTTCGGAAAAAATAAAGTAAACTACCAGGCGAGTTACTAGTGTAATAAGTCATCTACGTTTACTTTAAAGAGATTATATAAATGTTACATGATAAAATAAATAATGTTTTGAGTCCTGACTAGATTAGAATTTCTCATATTTTACATGTGAAACAAATATTTCGAACATCGGTCCAACCACACATCAATCTCTTTTTCCGTTATTAAAACCCTAAACTAAGCAAAGGCCCGAGCATATGTATTATTAAAAAAGCTACATGAATAGAAGAAAAGAGGAACCTTATTGGCACAACAAGCGAATACATAGCATCCGGTGTTGTTGGAAGACATTAATTCTGTGTTTACTCATTCAGTGAGGGCTACAAACACCCGTTTTCGATCCAAATTTTGATGCGTGCATTGCAGCATTCCAGGTCTATATTATAATTATCAAGGACAATATCTGAATGTGATTAGTCTATATAATCAAACATTCCGAAAAAAAAAGAAGAAAAATCCACACAACTGACTTAATTCTGGTATGTAATCAGATGGCTTTGCACTCCCATCTGACGAATGAAAATATGCAAATCACAAGCACAACTAATGGCTCACGGCTCATTGAGGGCTTAAGAATCTTGGGAATGATATAGAAAATATATTGTAGAAAAAGCGATTGCAACAATAACAATTGGTGAATGATGTAGAAAAACATTTGAGTTCTTCAGGTCACAAGATACAAATATACAAATCGTATTCATGAGTACGGTTAAAACCTCGACACTTTCTTTGCAATTAGTAACGTATCCAAATGATTCACTTGAGCATTATAAGGACTTAACCAGCTCTGCAGCCTGACGGGCAGCAGCAGACGCATGCTCAGCAGAGGCAATGGCAGCTCGAGCTCTCTCGAGGATATCAGACGATTGTGGTCTTGTCTCCCCTTTGGTTTCACTAACTGGTCTTGCTTTATCATCATTCGCTGATGGTTGAATCTCATTAGTGAACGATGGTGTCTTGCTTAAAGATCTTGGAGCATGAAGGTATTGAGGTTCTTGTTTAATATCTGCAGGCACAATAGAATGTGCCCCATTAGCAGGCGGGGAACTAAATGTGATTTGTTTTGCGGGAGCTTGAGAAGGTGCAGCAGCACCACTTATGTGCTTCGGTCCACCCTACAAATAATGAGAAAAAGGCCAAAATTTTTGTAATCAGTGTAAATAAAATAAATATCTCCTAATAATATATGGTTTCATGATATGAGTCCAATTTCAAATGTTATTTGAAATGTATCCAATTGAAAATCCAATTCCCTATCAAACTACTAAATCCCATATAGAATAATAAAAAGGGTAATTGTTAACTAAGATCACAAATTAAGACCAAGAAATTCCTGTATCATGAATATGTTTGTGACTGAAAGCATAAGCAGCACAACAAGGAATTCACGTATCATGAGAAGTTGTATCCATTGACGATTACAAAGCTAAACTATATATGTCAAGGTGCCTAATCATGGTTTCAATGACACAAATAACATCAGAAGATTAAGCTATAACCGATCACTTTGGATAAGGAAAAAGAACTTAAGTTGGAATAGTACCAGCAGATCTTCATGCTTTTTACTGAACTCCGCTTCAGTGTCAGAAGAATCCCAATTCAGCTTGTACTCTTTGGCAATTTCCTTCAATACCTTAAGCCTTGCCTCTCCGGAGGGACCACTAACTGAAAGCTTTTCAATTATCTGCCAAAATCATATAAAACGAATTGAAAATGTGGTATCAGTTTCTTTTTACAAATATGATGCTGTTCTTCAAAGACTCACAGTTACATATGCAATAAAACCACGTAACTGTTCTGTTGACACCGGAATCAGGACGAAGCTCAGACACAGCTGATACAAATTCCTTCCCATATTTTGCTGTAAACAAATTTGTGATCTGCATTAAATCTGGAACATCTGAGCATCTTGGAGCAGCAAAAATTATGCTCGATATAGCTTCTCGTAATTCCGTTGGGCACTCCCTGTAATTAGATAATAAATATATTGATATAAATATGCGCAAAAATAACACAGATCCAATATGCCTGCTGGTTAAAGGAAACCGCAATGCTCATAGTATTCCAACTTGCATTAGTATTTCGTGTCTTCGTGTCCTACTGTTTAAAACCAACAACAATGACAGACTCCAAAGACATTTAAAGTAATGCACCAAGTCTTTACATGTTCATATATAACAAGAGAGGCTAAGTATCAGAAGTTATCTAAAGCCGAAACTATTATCAGCAATTAACGAATTTACCTCTGACTTTCAATAATGGGAACCCGTGCAAGGACGAATTCACAGAACAGCTCCAATATCTCATAAGCAGCCCAAATGTTTTGCTCTCGTATAACATGCTCCACCTGACCATTATCAAATGTTCACCACAATTATCCGTAACAATTCAAACATGCAACAAACTCCAATCAAATAGGCATCGAAATTTTTTCGGTACAATTTTGAAAGTTGTACCCGAATTCGAGCTATTGCTTCTTGGCCAGCCTGCAAAAACTGTGCAATCTCCTTGCGCATATTTTTGAGCTGCACATCTCTCTTGTTTTGCAGTAATTTGATGCGTGAAATACCCAAATTCAAACATGTTTTGCTACAAAAAAACCCGGCAAGGTTAAGGATTTAGACCCCTTATTACAACAGCATTGCAAAAGTTTATAAATTTGACTCCAAGTCTCCAAATTTTTACACCCGGCAGAGTTAACAAACAACCAATTTACTAAAAACAATGAACATTTATTGCCAAAAGCCAAGAAATGCAAAAAAAAAAAAAAAAAAAAAAAAAAAAAAAACCGATCGAAGTATTTCCACAGGTATACTGATGAAATAATCAAAGAAACCCAGATGGTAATATGCTTTGTTGAATATTGGGTGCCTCACAAAATCAAGAATTTCGACGACATATTGATCAATTATTAAACTAAAATTTGACCAAAAGAACTAAAAAATTCTGGATAATTAGTTACGAAATTAAATCGTGATAAGCAAAGAACAAGGAGAACCAGATGATTAATATGACTAATTTAAACAAACACATAAAAGGATGGGATTCACCAACCATTTTGTGCCGAAAACGCCTCGGTTGAAGAGCTGGTTTAACAGAGACATGGATGCCTAACGAAGACGACGAGCCCCCTTGTGGAATGCCGATCGCTTAATAAACTCTGTAAGACTGCGATTTTTGGAGTCTCTGAGGGATAATCGCAGAGAATCAATGTCTTCAACTTCTGGGTCAGAGCTCTGGATCAGTGGTTCCCTACCGAACTAAAACATAAAATATGGTACAGTTTCTTTTGCTGATTTTTATTTAATTATTTTATTTATTGAAAACTAATTTTCTTTTAAAAAAAAAACTTAATTGTAGCAATCATCTCTAAATTTTACCCGTAATCTAATCTTTATTAATTGATAAAACCCTCTTTGTCAATCAAAAGAGGGTGAAAATACTACTTAGTCTTCTATCACACAAAAAAAAAATGATTGGTAATAATGCAATTTCACATGTCCAAATTTTACTGTTTTTTATTGAAGTCTCACCTATATGTGATGTTAAAATACCTCCAATATTTAAAAAAAAATAAAAAAGACAAAAATAAAAACCTCACACTCCCCCACGTTCTCTCCCCCCCCCTCTCCTTCTAATTTTCTAAAAAAAATATGTTCATACACACAAAATTGTGTAGACAAATGCTAGTTTATAATAAGATAAGATTAGGAAAATGTCATCAAGATAACAAAATAAAGATGGTGTTATTCACAAACTCTTATATTTTCTATATATTCTTGTTAATTTTTTATCACTAATCTAGTATAACCCCCGTAAAATAAAGATGTAAAAAATAGGCGTGTGGCCCTGAAATAAATACATTGACCATTATTATTTTTATATACACCTCTAAGTAATGGATTTAAGTCACTTAGTACTACAGCAACAACAGCTACATTTCTGAAGGGATATGAAGTGAATAACCAATTTCAAAAGGAAAATCAAGAACACACCTGAGCACGCGTGATAAAAAAAATACCCCTCGCATGTCGTGCGATGAGGCTAGTGATCACAGTTCGTTAGACGGGTATAATGAGAGGTTGGTATGGTAAGATTCAACAGCGCTCATTGTTCTATTTCAAACGATTTGAGACAACTTGCATGTATGACGAATCTGTGATCACCATGTTGCAGACAACGAATGAACTTACAATCCCATATTGTTTAAAATATAGATAAACTAACATATATGCAGTTTTTGACCAGAGATGGTAAAAAGAAAAACAAAACCAATGGATCAAATGGTAGATTACACAGAATCAACGGGAACAGCTAGGTAGGCAAACACCGGGAATCGAGTCAAGTGATAATATCGTTAAGGACGGTAAAATTCTGTCGTCTGGTTCTCCTTCGAGAATGGAATGATAAACTTCCGGGTAGAGTTTTAGGGTTTTATCCATGCTAGAGGTCTTCTCATAGAGAAACTGGCTCACCAGGGGATCAGTCACCTATTCTGCAGCTCCATGAAGAACTAGGAGCGGCGCTGAAACCTGAGATATCTCCAATTTTGTTAGTCCGTGACATAACAACAAACTCATGAAGCAGCAAACGTAAGAATGGATGCACATCCGACACAAAATACAACTGAACCTGACCTTCTCCAGTTGCATCTCGATAACGTAAGTAGCCTGTAGCGGTTCCACAGCAGTTTTTAACCACACGTTGTCGTTGTAACATATCACATTGTAGACTGCCTGATAAGGGATGAGCAAACATTGACTCGGTTATTTCCATTGGATACCAAAATTCGAATCCTCTGAAAGCATGCAGGTAAGGATGTTTTGATATTACACCAATCCGTATCCATCACATTTTTCATACAAGTGAATTCACGTGGACGGTGGATAGGCGAAATGAAGGACGAACCATTTCCCTTTTTCGAAGGTCTCTGAAGGCCAGCTCCGCTAATTCATTCTGTGGGACAAGCTTTGCTTTCGGCATAACTTTTGACATGAGAGTTAATATCTTCGGCACGGCCGCTGGAGGTGTTACGTCCTCTGCAATCTTTCAGCAACTCAAGGTAAGAAAATTTTCCATAATGAAAAACAATGTTCTAGACAAAGTAAAATTTGGTTTTGCAACTTCGGGAATCAACTTATAGAAAATTCTGCACAAACTATAATCGAATGGATGCTTTCTTGATTTGTCAAGACAGTGCGATGTCTGCAAATCAGCAGAGGATTCATGTAAATTCCTAACGAGGTCTCGCATAAAAGCCTAATGAGGTCATCACAAGGAAAACAATGATTCTTAACAACGAGACTCAACCTTTTGCTCTCTACATGGAAGCCTTTAAATTCAATTGAGCTACAAGGTACGACAGAACTTCATGATAAAAGAAAGTTGAAATCGAAATGAATGAATCTTAGTTTGTAGTGCGGCTAATGTGTATACTGGAGCAACAACTGGCTTACTTTACACATTGATGCCACAAGAACTACTCCATCCCATGCATATGATTCCTTTAAGTGCACCTTGAGAGTAACCACGCCACGCAAGGACTGCCCCAGTATAAAGCGGGGAAACCCTTTCAACTCCGGTCTTAATGTCATTCATAATTTTAGGAAGAATTAATCAGTCTAAGATCCCTGATAATACTTATTTCCTGTCGAAATATGCAAGGCAAGACCTTTTTCAATTAATTACGCTAAAAGATAATAATGTAGGATTGTAGTATCTAATGATCAAGATGCTAATCAGTGTAACACCTTTAATCTTGGTGTATACTGTTCAATAACATCATCAGCTAATTGATCAAAGCTTGGGATGTAACCACATGCAATCCTTCTAAAAGACCAAAACCCGGATATATATATATATATATAGTCCATGGCATATCCAGCTTCTGAATGGTAATTCAATCAATGAGATCAAAAATTAATAAACGCTTCATGTCTGACGAATAAAATTAAGCACCGGGAATCAAACCGTGTTACAATGTCATCAAGGACAGTTCTGTCATCGGGCTCCCCTTGAAGAATGCAGTGAAAACCATCTGGATAGAGCTTCAAAGTGTTGCAATGTCACAAAAGCAAAAGCACTTTGCAGAAATGGCAAACTGACCTTATCCAACTGCGTTTCGATATCACTCGTGGCCTTCAGAAGTTCCACAGCTGTTCTTGATCGCATGTTGTTGTTGTAAGAAATCACATTGTAAACGACCTACGGAGTCCTTTTCTGCTTTTGTGGATGTTTCATCTGAGAGATAGATTTCCGGCGAAACGAAGGAGGGCCGCACGGTCGAAAATTCGGAGTTGGAGAAAGGATCATGGCTATGGATGAACTGGCTTTTGGAAAGTCGAGTGGATTCAACGTTTGATGTTCAAAAGTTCGTGCATTTGTTTGCACGAACCATCTCGTTGACCACGGGCAGTGCGTTGCTCTTTGATTTGCTTGTACCGAAGAAAACGAGAAGATCATAATCTTGCCTTAATTATCGATTTATGCTCTAAAATTCAATATTTGCTCTAATTTGCCAATTGAAACTTAAAAAATAATAACAGGTGTCAACAACAGTAGATATGGTTGTATTGGATAAGCCACATAGGCAAGTTAGTTAGGATTGTTCTATATGTACTGTTGGTTTAGCACTATGTGCATTTTAATGAAAAACCCCTCAGTTTTGTTGTTCTCTCTCTAAACTTCTCTCTAGCATTTTCTCTATTTCTTTTCAATCCTTTCTCTGTGTTCATCAATGGTGTTCATTGATTCTTCTCACTCAATACTGTTATCAAAAAATAATTTACTTCAACTTTGCACTTCGTAACTCACTTTACTCTATGCTGTTGACTTTTACTTTATTCTTTGGAAGAGAGGCACCATGAAACTAAGAAATATATGACGTTTTCAAGGAGTTGATGAGAAAATGCCATGATTATCTAAATTTGTACTAGACTTTCTAGAGCTTGGGTAGGGACCAAGGTGAAAATCGAAAAAATATTATATAGGACTATCTGACTATGGAATTTTCATATCGAGTGGGATTACATAGAGTTGGATGAGATATAAAATATATAGAGGTTTCATATTTTTGTGAGAGGTGCCCTAAAAAAGACATAATCTGATAAACTCAATACAAGCTTTTATCTTTGAATTAAAATACAGAAAACATTAATCTATTTTCATTAGCTCATAAATTCATTTTTCCTTTTAACGAGGGAAAAAAGAAGATGAAATTGGAGCTCTACCTCCAATAGTTTATGGGTGTTGACTTTGTTAATCTACGGGTGTTGCTAGATTACAAGAATTTAAGAGCATGTTTGATATTCTACTTGAATCCAACTTTTTAAACTCAAAAACAATTTTCAAGTTTTAGGCTTAAAAAATTTGTTTGGTATGACTATTTTTAAAAACTGAATTTAAGACTAACTCAACCAAAGGTGAGTTTTTAGAGTTTTTAAACTTAAACTCACTCCTTTCTTTTCTCTTCCTCCCCCCCCCCCCTCTCACTCCAAATCTATCTCTCTCATTTCTTCTTTCTCTCTCCCCCTTTTTTTTTTTTTTGACCCTTTTTCGTCTCCTCCAATCCTCTCTCTTCATTCTCTCGGTTCTTTCTCTCACTCCTCTTCCTCTCTATCTCCTCCGATCCTCTCACTTTTTTCTCTTTCCTCCAATCATCTCTTACTTTCTTTCCGCCTCTCTCCTCTTTCTCTCTCTAAGTTATAAGATTTAAAATTTTTAAATCACATACTAAACAAGTTTTTGAATTTTAAATAAAATTGTTTTAAAAATAATTCTTAAGAAATGATAAAAAAAATTCAAATATGATACTAAATAAGCCCTAAATCATCATTGCTATTGTGTAGATCATCTCACCTTGGGTCCATATGACAGTTGTTTGGGCTTTCTGCCCAATTGGGTCACCGTGGGATTCAACTCCAACCGAATGGGCATTAGGCAGCTTATTGGGCTTAAAGACTAAAGCCCAATTGTCCCTTTCAAACTCGTATTTCTTTTCTATAGTTCTTTTTAATGTATTGTTATTGCTACTCACAAATGACTTGTTTGAGAAGTGTTATAAAATGTTGAAAGGACATTTAGAGAAAATATTTTGAAAACTAATTCTTAATAAAAATGTAAGTTAACCTTGAAAAATCACTATTTTTCAAAATTACTTTCTATAAAACCGTTTTCAATCATTTAAAGGCACTTCCCAAAACAGCCTAAAATATTATCATGGACTTCTTATATGAACTTTCAATTGCCTTAGGATAAATTTGAAATACATAAT